CGAAAGAAGACACAATACTCGGGCAGAATATATGTATTCAGCACGGAGAAGGTATCTGGGCTATTGGCATGGCCCAAAAGGCCAGTCCACCCAGCGAGGTACAAGGGGGCTAATTCGAAGTACAAAAGTGGCGCCTCACCAGAACCGAGGGATAAAACACTATCGTATTACACTCTTGTACCTCGCTGGGTGGGCTGGCATCTTGGGCCATGCCAATAGCCCAGACACCTTCTCTGCGCTGAATATATGTATACTGCCCGAGTATTGTGTCTTCTTCCGTCTTCAGGGAAGTCTCGGGACTCTGCAATATCCGAACGCAATAATTGCTTTTAAAGCAACTCAGAAAACACAATAGGCAAGTCGTGTTAGCAAAACAATGACATGTCTTGATTTGGGTAGAATCTTTGCTCTATTAATTTTATTCAATGGAACACATAGAAGTCAAACTATGGTTAAAATTTGGCATTATTTATTTATTTAATCATTATTAAAAACACGCATTCTAAAATCAAAGTCATTAAACTAGATTGTACGTGTAGTAGATAAGATAATTATTCATTTAACATTTAATTAACTTTTCCCGCTGAATAAAAATGTCGCCAAGTGCCCACATATTTGAAATCCGGCCAATTATAATCAGCCGTGCGTAGTAGAGGGCTGCTTGCTTAGCTTGGCGTTGGTTTGCTTTTTACATTCTGATTTACATAATTTTTCTTATGCTTTATATTGGGGTTTTAATCCTTATTGTCATTCATCCCTAATGGTTACTAAGCTCTGAGTGTTCCGTCACAATTTTTTGTTCTATCGGAACAGTTTGACCGGCGGTGAAGTAATCGCCTGTCTGGTATCCTTTTTGAGCGTAATGTTAGTCTTTTACTACCTTGTATCTTTTGTTCAGCACTTTGGTTTGTTGCAACTGTGCTTAGTTGGTGTCCATGATGGTACAAGATGCACTTCACCGGATCATCAGCATCCTCATCTCCACTTCCTTTTTCAAGACTGTAGAACTCCCGAAATGCCTCTCCCTCGTTACACCATCCAACCCACGCACATCAGTCGGGTGCACATGCCCGAGAAGCTTGACAATGAGCTTGAGTATGTCTCAAACGAGACACTGTGCAACCTCATGCACCAGATGGCTTCAGTGGCCTCCGTCGCTTCGGAGATCTTTGAAGAACTCACCACCGATCTGGTTACTATCTCCGCTCGTCTGAACCGCATCGAAGAGCGCGTCAGCAACGTCACAACCACCCTCAAGTCTCTGCCTACCAGCGAAGAATTCCTTTCTGTTGGCCTACAGCATCTCACAGCACCTCTGTCCGGTGTACGAGAGCAAGAGTTGGACAGTCAAGTGCTTCATCGCAGCACAAAACCGCGCTGTATGCAGGCGCAGTACGAGGCGGCAGAGCCGCCACCACCGCTTCATGTGATGGACGCGCTGAGGGATGATGGCAAGACCACGGCGCGACTCTACTCCGATCCGCGATTCTTCTTCGATCTCTGGCGCAAGGAGATGTTGGAGGATGCTTTTGACGGGACTGGTGGTCCTGGTGGCGCAAAGGGTGGCAAAAAGGTTGTGAAGAAGAAAGTGAGTTATGGCATCAAATTCAGCAATTTTGATTGAACTTAAAATAATGTTCCAAAGTCAGGTTTCATTGTTATTGTTTACCCTAATTGCACAGTGGGATCATGAAAAGTTGTTTATTCGAGTGACGCCGTTCTCTCCGTGGCGGTGTTGGTGCGGTAGTAGTCATTGTGTAAAAGGGAGCAAAAATCTCGGAAATCGGGTGCGTATTGCCTATGTTCTCCGTGTATTCTATCATCGTCGAGGTATTAAAGCTAATCAGTGGAGCCGAGAGTTGCGTCCTCTTTTTTGCGACTTCCCGTTTTCTTCGAGTAGGCCCGCCTTTAAAACCCACCTATCTATGAATCTATTTATTTGGCTAAATTAAACGGCTGCAGATGAAATTAAATGCAGTGTGCTCCAAGAGCGGCACGTTGATCTCCAAAAGTGCACATTTTACTCATACCGAACTTATACGAGTGATAAAATATTCTTCCTCACTATTGTTGCTCTAGGTACGGTTATATGCGTGGTACAAGCATGAAAAGCACTATTTTGTACATTTTCCCCGTCCAATTTAATGATACACTTTTAGTTTACTAATGCTATCAAATGCTTTCGCCACCAGAACTGCACGCAAACTAAGTTCAAGCGAATCGATGAAGCTAAGGATTGTATATTAATACCAAATTATTCCTTTTCCCCCCTCATGACAGCGTTTAATTTTTGAATCAACCTGCCTTGCTTATTTGAAGAGTTGATGAGGTGGGGCTCATTATTTGCAAGGAATAAGAGTTGTCGGTCTTTGCAACTCTTAAGTTATCCCTGCAGAAATTATGGGGTTTTGCAAGTCTAGAAGTACCCTCATTGTATGCATATGAACGGGTTGGAAGTGATATGAGTGGTGACCGTAAAGGCCTGTGTGGTAATGTACTCATTTCGATGTAATGATTTGGCACTATTTTTTGGAATTTTTTTAAATTAGGGGTAATACCTTTACTTTTCAGCGTCCAAAGCCCAAATCGAAGCCGTCCTACACTCTCGGTGTGATCGATTACCCGCCACTGCAACAGCAATTTCTACCAAAGCACGAGCAAAAAACACTCCAATCTCAGTCGCAACAACAATTGGAGCAGCAAGAGACACAGCCACAACAAAAGCCATTCCCTGTGACCTTACCGTCTTCAATGCCGAGCGAGGGAAGCAATGTGGCGGCGAGCTCAGAGTATGGAGAGCCTGAGGAGACGCTGACCCATCCCAGCGAGTGGATAGCCGGTACTGCTCGTCCTACTCCACCATTCCCCCACTATCGCGGTGGTAGTGGTAAGTGCCGACTTCTCTTTTTCATTCAACGCTTGAACAGCTTTTGCCGGGCCATTAAAGATGAAATCTTGGGCTTTTTTGTTCCTATCCTACGCCCGCTGATTCATCTATAAGGCGATCTCAGTTGTTATCTTACTATAAAATTAGTTGTAGCAGTCTGCAATCCCTTTTTTTGATTAGTGATTCTTAATGCATAAATGCTCAATTCGAAGCATGAGAAAAATCGGATCTGTCATGTTCAATAACTTCGATTCAAGTCTAGTTATTGTCTCGTTACCCCTCTGATGGATTTTTAGGTGCTCTTTTTACCCCTTTTACACATTTTTACTCATTTACGCGTTTAAATCCATGTGTGTATGGGCTTTTCCTTCTGATGGCTATTGGTTGTCCTGCTACCGATCTTTTCACTCATACGAAAGTTGGGCTACTTTTATCTCGCCTTTTGCCAACGAATTTGCTTGGTCAGCAAATGCCGAACGCCTGGATGTTTCTCCCTTGTCTCCAGTATACTAGTCATTTCTGATCTGTTTCCATAACTTAGGTTCAACTGCCGTTTAGCAGTAAACTTAATCGCAATAGGTGTGTTCGCTGAAATCACTTTGTCGGGTGACAAAAGTTCCTGAGGTTTGCGCTACACGGCTTGCTTGGACAGCTACATGCGTCACCCTATGGTAGGAGGCTTTTAATGCGCTTTCTACTCTTCTCTCCTTACTTTGAACCCTCATTGCACAAATTGTCGGTTGAGCCTGACTGTTGTGATTCGAGTTTAGCTTTTTTCAGTGCTACAGATGTTTCTTACATAGTCTAGTAATGGTTTACATTTGTTTAATTCTAATAATGCTTTACTCAAGGATGGATTCATCCAGCTCAAAAAGGCTCGCTATCGATAGGTTAGTTTAAGATTAAAAAACCGATTACACCTAATCAACTGTGAAAGTCATGGAATCCGCTAAGCAAATGGGTGCAACATGCCACTTAAGTTTCAAGGGTACTCCTTTTTGCTCTTCACAGGCTGTAGAAGTGCATCACTACTAGATTCTCGGCTGACTCGCTTGTATTGATGCGACATTGAGCTAACGAGCATATCTTTAAACATCTCCAAACAGTGCATTTACTACTTACTCTACACTTCTAGTGTACGCACCATTTATTACCGAAAGACTGTCTACTTTCAATGTGTGTGATGGACTGCAGACGAAAAAGACGGAGAAGATTTGCTCTTGAGGATGAAAGGGGGAAAATACTTACCTATGTTCATCCTCCACATTTAAAGATGATATTTCCCCAAGTTGCAATAACATATTCTTGACTTTGGAACTAGACAATCGCATTTTGGGTAGAATAGGCCGTTAAGAAATTAAACCGAGATCGAGGCGGAGGTGATGAGGTCTCGATTGTTTGCCTTTGGAGACAAGCGGAATTGGCGGGCCTGTGTTTTTTGAAACAGGGTTACAAACATTATTGCAAGAAGCTCACTACAGGTATTCCTACTTTTATTACAAAATTACGAACTTGTTTTGCCACTTTATTAGTGAATGTAGATGGTTGCCTGCGACTAAGCGAATTTATTGGGTTAATAAATGTAAAATCGGTCACTTTATTATCTTCTTAAAATAGACGTATCGTGCGCTTGTCTAGAACGATCTCGGCTCCTATCTAGTTGTCAAAAAGAGCATAACTATCAAATAGAAATAATTCTTTTCTTCAACGGATGTTGGATATAAGATTGGCGGTATTTTCCATTTTTAATTTGTTCTAAACCCTTGCTACTCTCAAAGGCTAGTATTGTTTCGCACAAAAAGCGATCATCTACTCTTCATACTGGAGCAAATCTGACATCACAAACGATACAAATTTTTTGTGACTAGTCATTTCACTACCGATCTTTCCATTCTCATGCAGACGTGACATGGTTACTTGAATCGTAAACTCTCGTTGCCTCGCATTTATCCCACGACAGGTCTGGTGTGTGCGTGTCCGCATTAGCGATTGTGGCCATTAACAAATCAGCTGTGGTAAACTTTCCCTCGCCTTAAATGTTGGGGCGATCCGTAAGAATTGGAGAAAGCTTGATCATAAAGCCCAAATTATTGTGTATTTTGATGGACAGTCGATTTCGGGCTGTCTCAGTGCTGAATTGCTGCCATTTCTTCAGAGGCCAGCGCTAGTTTAATTCATTTGTAGAAGGAGTCGGACATTTTCTACTTAATAAATAATAAACAATCGCGAGTCATTCTGTTGCTGTTGGGCTGGGGTTCTGGCTACATCAGTATTACCGCGCGATTTGCAATAGATTCGGACAACTTTTAGACGAGTGTTGCATTTATTCCTACTACTACGCTGATGAGAGTGCGTGGGTTTTTCCACCTAACGGCTTCTAATCAAAATGGATCCTTTTTATATTTTCCGCTAATCAATTTGAACCGCTTTCCTTATTCAAACGTTATTATTTCTGTTTCGTTGTCATTTGTGCCAATGCTTTCCTGTGGCATTTCGACAGTAGTACTCGTTTTTTGCCATGTAGCTGTTGAATGAACAGGTGTTTGGGTTTCACTCTTTTTTTGTTATTCACTTCTTGGCAATTTACTCTTCTCTGGGTAAAGTTTTTCTACAGTTGTGAGGGAAATTGGTTTTCGGTTTAGCTTATCCGAAGTGAAGTGTTCAACCACGCCGTTTCGCCTTTTTTGTAATCCAGCACACTTCACTGCATTGTAGTTACTTCGGCTTCAGTCGAAAATTTGTGCTTTAATGATTCTCTAAATATAAACGTATTTTGTTAACAAAGTTGCCCTTAGTACGAATTGACGATCTTGCCATACGCACATACGGTGTTGTTTACATCGATCTCGTTCCTGTGGCAGCTAAGTGTGCTTGTACGCTTTACGCTGGACTCCTTAAACCACATCGTTGTTAACCTAACGCCTGTACCTTGATTGTTACCCCGTAGGCTGGAGTGGATTTCTTCTAGCCTTGTTGTGCGTTCAGTAGACTATTTTCCTAGTGGAATACGTCTAGCGACAATGCGAGCCAATATGGTAATATTGAACATTGTAGATGGGTTTGAATGCTTTTGCTTAGCATTTCTGCGTCTTCATGGGCACAGATTTTGTCTTCAATGTAGATTTCTACCTCGCTTGCGTCGTCACTTGTCAAATTACGCAGTTTTTTGTTTTCTGGAAATGCCGTTCTCACGAGTGCTATTTACGAACGGCATACGATTGTTTGGTTATGTGCAGGTACCTCCGCTTTTCTCACCATTCAGGTTGATTTTACGTCACAATCTTGTGTCGTCGTGGCAATAAACTTGATTTCGTTTGCGTAAGGCAAGGCTTTTAGGGCATGTTTTCTTAGTAAATGTAAATCCTTATCCATCTATTTAAGCTTGCCCGCCTAGGAATTGTCATTTGCATTTTGACCCCCATATTAAATGACTTGTTCTACGTTTTACTAACCACTTTGGTGTTTAAGTGTGCTGAAATTTCACTTTGTTTTAAATAAAAGTTGGTAAATTTTCGTTTATAGGCTTGAAACTAATCTTAAGCAATGGGGCCTGACTACCACATTCTCAAAACGTGGTTTTCTTTCCCAATTTAGTTTTAGATGTTATATTTTGTTAATGTTATTTGGTCTTCTGAAGGAGACGCTTAGTGATATCAACAATGCACTTTTAGGCTAAAATTCCATACATTACTATAACTGTTACCTTCCTCGATGTGTAAAAAATACGGCTTTGTCTAATTGTCACATTTTCTCCTTTTCAGATGGTGACCTCATGGCCAGTTCGTGTGAGTCGCCACCGCCACCACCACCTCCTCCTCCACCCCTGATGGACCTTTCCGTCTCCTCCCTAGGCGGAGCCAGTGGAAGTGGTTGTGGAAATACAGCTCTTTCCGTGGAACCCATCCACAACCTTCCGCCTTATGCCCCCTCCCTCTCTGTAGGTTGCATGAGTCGACTAGAATGTTTCTCCTACTTAATTGATTCAAGTAAAGCGACTTATTTAACAGCCACAACTTGACGGAAGTGGTGACGCTTTAAACGTCAGCGCCGATCTACTTCCACCACCGCCACCGCCAGCTGTAATGACCAACAGCTCTGACAACCTCCTCTCCACATCCTTCCACACCGATCATCCACCTCCGCCGCCTCCCCCACCTCCACCACCGCTCCCTCCTTCTTCCTCAACTACCGGTAAATTTCCCTCAAAACCCGTGTTACCTGGGCCCCCACGAGACCTCCTCTCCGATATTCGAGCAGGAGGCTTTCAACTGCGC